AAGTAAGTAAGTTAATAAGTAGCGATGAAAATAATTTGAAATTGGAAAACGTAAGTTTTTTTTTTACCGCAAAACTCAAAGTCATGAAAATATAGATTAAAAACACATTGATCGTAGAACAATAAACACGCGACTCGTGTTTGAGATTTTAATAACGTCAGATACAAGAAAATTACATTTGCATACTCATTTCAAGGTTGTCTCCCTCTTTAATTATTCTTAGACGACTGTTTGTCGAAACAGGTTTTTAAAGATGACTATAAAACATCACAATTCCAATTCGTGAGTCATTAATCTATGATATTTTGTTTGTCTATGATAGAAGATTACCTGTACAATCTGTACAATACGTTCAATTGTTTAATTTACAAACAATACTCCATATTTAAAAAAAAATATTAAAAATCTAGCTGTCACCCGCGACGCCGACCACGCGGAAGTAAATACAAACGAGTTACGTTGCCTATGTGGTCTTCCAGACTGTGTTCTATATCTATGCCAAATTTCAAAGACATCCATTGAACCGTCCTTAAGATACCTTAAAAGAAACATCCATCCATCTAGCCATACGCATTTATAATATTAGTAAGAAGTAAGATTATACCAAGACTACGCAAAGTCGACAAACTCAGAGTGAACTCAGATGCTGGTCACTAAGAATGAGTTGAATGATGAATGAACGACATGAGAAAGAACGGGATTACCTATGCGTCTTTTAAACTACTGGAATAAGGTAGAATTTTGTACTGTGTTTGGTCTAAGAGTAAAACAGATCGTGACGTGTGAAAGGCACTAACTGTAATGGGCGGTCTATCAGCGCGAACGGTAAACCACGATTGTGGCTGTGGGGTGTGGGGGTGCGGAGTGCGAGGGGCACTATAACAATGGCCTCGGAAATTAATATAATTCGCTAGACCTGTTCCGTTACGCCCCTCACACTCACAATTTTATGCAATCAAACTTTGACAGCTGTCAAATTTGAAATGTAACGTTCGAAAAACTATTCGATTGATTTAATTTCAGTAAACAAAATGTATCGTTAATCTTTTGGAAATGTTGCTTTTTCCACTTAAAATATGATGTGGATAGATACTTCAAAACACAAAAGCAATATTATCTGTATTGCAGACTGAGAAAAATCCGAAAAAAACTATCTTACTAAGATTACAAATGAGAAAGTTTGAATGGATGGATTGATGTTTGTTAGCAAATATCTCCGGAACGACACAACGGGTTTCACTGATATTTGGTATAGATGTAAAACATAGGCTGGAAGAACACGTAGACTACTAAGCAATTTTTTAATCCCGTGCGGACGTAGTCACGCGCGACTACTACTAGAATTTAAGTGATAGTTTTATAAAAAACATTATTTGTAGCATAAATCTACAAATTACATATTAATAATAAAGTTATCTAACATAACGAAAGTGATACAACACTAGCTATACATTAGTTACAACGTGTAACACGTTCCCACAAAATCAACAATAGCGGCGATTTGTTCAAACACGTGATAGAAAGCAGCTGTGTATTGTTTCCCGTGAGCTTTTTATATTATCTTTACGTTCATTGCAATAATTCATCTTTCACTGACTTTCTAACAACGAAGTTACGATGATGAGGTAATAAACAACAACGCCCAACGCAAAGATTATAATCACGTTATTTTAGTTATTCGATTATGATCGTAAAAAATGTTACCACAATGAAAAACACAACTAAAAGAAATGGGCAATTTTAACGACAAATGTTTGTTATGTAAATTATAGGAAAGCCCCCAATTTTAGATATATTCCCAAAAAAGACAGACAGACGGACGGACGGACAACAAAGTGATCCTATAAGGTTTCCGTTTTTTTCCTATGAGGTACAGAACCCTAAAAAGGATCGTTTAAAATTTACTTAATATTTAATATAGTCACATAAACTCCTTAGTTTTTCTCATATCTCCTTTAATCAAACAACTCTGTATATGGCAGTTGGCTTGATTTAAATCTTTTACGTAATATCCTCTTAGCGGAATAAGCGGAACAGAAGATCGACAGAGTCGTGATACCGGCCGCGAGGTGTTAACTATGCGGGCTCTTTGCATTACAAATGCTAAAAAGTTGTTTGTTCGGTGCCCACTTAGCGTTGAATCCTCGCGGAAGGGAAACAAGTCGGACCCGTTCTAAGTCGCTCGAGATTAGATGTCCTATGGATATCTAGTTTTCTATATGTTTACTCCCTCTATACATTTTTAGCATTGGTTTTTACAACCGGAAAAATCATACAAGAATACTAACTCTCTGTAAAAAATTTTTGATAAAATGTCTTTGTATAGATTATTTGGCAGTGAAAACCAACTATTATCTACCTTTATATCCCACATTCATGTTAAAACGCGCACAATATATGTACCAACTATCTTCTGTCGAATGTCACCGCATCCTTTTTAATAAAATTAAGATAATAAAAATTCTGGCGACGTAAACAATAAGTTACGACATTCGTAAAATAGTTACTATTCTTATATGTTTCTACCTAAGTTTACAAAATGACTACAGGTCAAATATCTACACCTTAATAGTTCGCTTGTCGAAGTTTGGAGCAGCGAGAGACCGCCAGAGTGCGTGGTCGTCACGGGCATGCGTGCAACACGCAATACCACAACGATTAGCTGCAACTAATCGTTACTACTAAACAACTAATACTATCGTCATTTTGATCTAGCCATCTAAAAGGAGTTTTGGAGAGGAATTCTTTTAAAATAAATCATTATTGAATCCAAAATAAAAATTAAATACTATCGTGATATGATTATTATCACAACAATGTTTGTAAAAAGTGCATATATTCAGTTCGTTCGTTCAGTCATTGTAAATGCAGTATTCAAATGATTAACTATTACCTTGTAAAGTGCGGCTTGCGGTTAACGTTTAGTGTTAACCGAGCCAAGGTTAACGATAGATAGTACTTAGAACACATTGTATAACCTACAACTTGTGACACCAAGATATATCACTAAAATGAAAACAAACATTATCAATTAATTTAAAAAAAAATTGAGTAGCAAGATTCTTCGCGAAGTAACATACTGTAACTGTACCCGGACAATAATCTAGGGAAGAATATTAGTCTAATGAGAAACATCCCTGGCCATCAAAATTTTTACGAAGAATTCATAGAGGCAATTAAAATTATTATTTTTAAATAAATATTTTTTTATCTAGTAGTAGTTAAAAAATATATCATACTAGCTGTCGCCAATGACTCCGTGCGCGTAATTAAAAACATACGTAGTATCTGTTCTTCCACACTATGTTCTACATAAATGTCAAATTTTATCGAGATCCGTTGAGCCGGTTCAAAGATACCTTCGAACATCCATCCATCTAAATTCGCATTTATATTATTAGTAAGAAGTAAGATTAAAGTGAAACTCAAGCTAATTTTTCTCATGGCACTGAACTGTAATTGATTTAATAATAACAGTAGCAATCTACATAAAAGCAACAAATCATTACATAACACGTGGCCAGTGATCGACAGATAATGGCGCGCAAGTCACGAAATGTAGCGGTAAAAAATAAAAAAAAACCACATCCTAAATTTACGTGTCTATTAGGAATTTATCTATATATTTCTTAGTAATTTCATTATGAGATGTGCTAAACAATTTCAGAATTAAAGAATCTTCGAAATTTAAAAGTTGTAGACCGTGATTTGATACAGATTATAAAATTTATTTTCGTTACAAAAATATGTCAAAGGTAAAAATAAAAAAAACTTGACTCTGTACACATATTTATTTATTCATTTAATTACTTATTACAATTGTATAAAAGAATTAGATATTTTTTTACAATATGACAAACTCATGTACCAAACAATGTTTGAAGCGAGTCATTCAAAATGCGAACATAAAAACCGTGTCATGGTCAACTTACAATATTGACAAGCGTAACTGTAATACGACTTGTAATTGATTTATTTTTAAATATTGTCCATTAAATCATACGCGATTTAATCAATAAAATATTAAATAAATTAATTTATTTAATTCTTTTCAAGATACAGCCCTGGCAAAAGATGACTCATTATTAAAATAAAACAACAAATAAATGTATATTAGGTATTGTAAAAATATAAAAATAAAAAATTGGCTAAATTATTTTTAAATGCATTTATCTGTTTTTTAACAAATAATATACTTATAACAAAGGCATCAAGATTACTTAAACCATAAAACACATGAAATAGAAACTTAATATTAAATTGCACAATACAAAAATCTTAAACAAAACAACTAATTGTCTTTTGTTTGAATCACATTGTATCAAGTTTTTATCTTAAATTCGTATATACCATTATCATACATAAGTGTCGCTAAACGCCATATTTCCCAATAAAAAAAAAACTATCGAAAAATGGCCTGAATATTTGAAGAAATTTTATAAAAATTACTGGTGATAAATAAAAACAAAACGATCCATTAACTAAAACAAAAATAAAAACAATGGCCGTTTAAAACATAATACACATTTTAGCACAAATAATTAAAATTAATGAAATAAAAACTTAAATTTCAATGAGTCGAAGATTTAAATTCAACATCTGCTGAATATTAACAAGGCAGCAAGGTAAAGCAAAGGCGTCGCGACCTTCAAGAAGCTCTCAAGGTAGAGTAAATATCGGAAATTGTGCAATATGAATAAAACCTACAAAGTATAAACTAACCTCAAACTTTGCATTAAATCGACCCACAAATAAACTAAATAAATAGTTTAATTATCAAACTCAATTAACTAATACTCTAATATAAATATCACTGGCTAATAATAAATAAATATTTCTTTAACCGTGTCGTTTTATTTTTATTAATTATAAAAAATGTACATCTAATGATCATGTTTTTTTTTAAATAAAATTTAATTTGAGTCATTGCATATTTATGTTCTAATTTTTTTTTCTTAAATAAGACTTGTAAAGGCCAGTCAAAACAGAGACAAAAGATAATTTTTGTTGTTAATAAATAAATATAAACTACTTAAGGCCAAACATATGTAAGATGTTTTTTTCATATTGTAATAAAATACAATAAGAATTGTTTTTATTTAAAAAATGTTTTTGTAAAGAATTGTATAGTTATAGTGTTCTGACCAATTTATTTCACTCATACATTGTGCTTATATATTTTAGCATTGATAATATGTACATTTTAAATAATAACAGACTACATCTTTTCCCATACATGCGTTAAATCACATAAATACATTTATCTCGGAACCACACATATAAATAGGATGTAAATTGTCCCAAAGTGCTATAAAATATATCCAAAGTTCACATAAAATTACACAAAAAAATGCACAGCTCACATCAACTATCAACTATGTTTAGACATCTCTAACGAAAGGAGTTACATTTTGCACCCCCTTAAGAGTTTAATTTTTCGTTAGATGCGTCTTATGTTTATGTTCTAAATAATTGTGATAAATCATAGTCTTTAAGATTCACTAATCCTGAATGTCCGTTAATCATACAATAGTATTCGGCTCCTACTATGTATGTTAGTACCATAAAACCTACCAAACTTCCCAGTGTTGTAGATTTTGGTAGTAAAATACCTGTTGCTATTATCAGACCGACATAAGTCATATACCTGAAATAAATAGTATCATTATATATTACTATGTTTGTTTTTTTCATAAATATGTTATTTTCATCTAATTATATATATTTTATATAAATATATGTAATAAATGTCACTAGTTTTTAATATTTATTCTAAAATATTCCCATATTAATGCTACAGTTATGTTGTATGTGTCTTTTAGTTAATGTTTGATTAATGCCCATTTACAGTTAAATATGTGCCGAAAATATTATCAAAATTACTTATATTATTTATATAACTAAATACCATCACCAAAATAAAATTGATTTACCTATAAAACACTCAATGAAACTACAGCTCCTCTTTTCTGTAAGAAATTCAGGGAAATTAAAAAAAAATCAAAAGAGTTAAGTTTTGAAATAAAATTTAAATAATATTACCTTGTTGTAGTCAGACTATCAGATTGGTCCTCATCCTCTCTATCGGCGATACATAATTCTCCTTTTTTAGAATAACCTTTGGCACATTTACGGCACAGATCTGGCCCATCACCATGGCAACCCGCACAAGACTTGTCGCATGACATGCATGCATATGATCCAAGGCTATTCACACAAAACTGATCGTTTTTACATTTATTAATATCATCACATTCATTTATATCTTGGCAACCTTCTTCAATATCAAATACATAGCCTGATTTACAAGCTACGCAGCCCTTCTGCGTGCCTTCACGACAGCCACCTAAACAGGATCTGTGGCAACGAGAACATAGCATCTTGTTCTCATCTTTATAAGACAAATAGTAGCCAGTATCACAATCCATACAATTCTCTCCTGTATACCCCGGATCACACAAACATGTCCCATTTCCTTTCCTTGTACCATCACCTCTGCATTTACCGTTCCCATTGCAGATATTGGTATGGTCACCAGGACAAGGAGTACAGTCTTTACCATAGTGATGTTCAGGACAACAAACCTGTATTTTATCTATACACAAGTATGTGAATAAGTCTTCTGACTCATTAGGGTCTTGTGACCACCATTCCTCAATAAATTCCTCAGCTTTTTCAGCCATATGGTGGCATTGTACTGCATGCTTTTTCTCATCTTTGCAAACTCCATCTTGTATATCTATAAGACGCATTTCACTACGCTTGTACGATTTTTTCAACTTTTCCTCCTCCCATGCTGCATCACCACCTTCATATTTTCCCCTAGATGTCCGTTCTAAGCCTTTCTTAAAGGATTCTACGAACAACTTACACGCTTGGCAATCGCCGAGGTTCTTCGACTGAGTAAGAATGCCCGGGTTTATAATAGGTGCGTGCAGATTACCACAAGCCAAATTAACAAATGATAACACAAAGAAGTATCCACATAAGTTTCCGAAATCCATGCTGCTGATAAACCTGAAAATCACAAGTTCCTATATAATTTAATAACGAATAATTCAATGAATTTAAAACGATGATTTTTTTGCACGTACACGGAATTCCGATAGCTATTGATTATTTATTTATTCACTAAAAGAACACTAAATAACCTCGCGGATCACACAGTCACCTTTATTAAATGATATTTTTCGACGTCGGCATTTAATAAATATACGAAATACTGACGTGTTTTTTCGGTACTCGCTACAAACTTGACGTTTATTTTAAGATCAGCTGTGAGCCTGTGAATTTGACAGTGCGCCATTCCGAATACGTTCCGTTTTGCAAGCAAATGCCAACACCAGTTTCAATTTTTTAAAATAAAAAATTAACTTTGCCAATTTGATTAAATATAATTACCATAGCGGTAAAATGTTTTACTATGTAAATGATTTTTTTAATTACATAAATAGAAGTTTGTTAACCCATCAAAAATTAAATGCTAATGGCCCTGATGTCTTTATTCGAACTAAATTATTTTCTAGCTATATAAAAAAGGTAAGGTTTTATAAAAGGCTTGTCCGTTTGTCTCCTACACACAACGCCTACTATCATTGGGTAATTTTATACGTGGGATTGAGGGACTTAAAAAAACAACAGCTTCAAATTTCTAATTCTAACATTTTTTAATAATTTTGTCTGTTTTAAGAAACTTAAAAGTTATAAGTCTTTAGATCACCACGAGCTCATCATTTTGTTTTATATAATGGTCCTAAAACATAAATATTTTCTTTTAAAGTATGTGCACAGAAAAGCAATGTTTTTATGTAGTGAAAGCAGGAAATTGCATAAGTCTTGCTTGCACGTGCTTGCCATTAAGTAAGACACTCTTATTGATGTAATGTATTAAACTTATAGTTTTATTTCAATACCAATCATTCGTCTTGCCTGTCAGTTTGCTCCGATCTTTTAAAATATTTGAATATTCAATTAATAAATCAACCATCATAATAATTGTGGAATGGTTCACTCAATAAAGACTTGTTTTAATTGAACTTAAGCATTGCTATTTTAATACCCATTTATAATTTATAAACAAAAACATTAATTTAAATAAAAACCTTTATGTAAACAACAAAACAGGTGTATTTATAATATGCATACGCAAGATAATGTCAGGCTTATAGAATCCTTTTTATTTTTTTAAAGGCATGAATACGAGAAATGATTATGAGCGAATTGAAATGAATGGTATAAAGCTGGAGAGCTTGAAATACTATTATTCATTACCCGCACAATGAACTGATAGAGATCCTGCGATTTGTATCGTGCCCATTATCGATCATACTGATCACGCCCTACACTTTACATGCCACGATTTTTTATACAAATGATAACTTAATACTGCAGTTGCAGGGACTCGAGAGCTTTCGCTGCATTTATTTTATTTTTACTAGAACGTTGAATCTTTTATCGTAGTATTTTATATATATTTTGCAGCAATCAGTACCTGGAACTTTTGTTCGCTGCCGCGACTCCCTCCGCGCACGTTAAAAAAAATAGTCGCCTATGTTCTTCCAGATTATGTTCTATATCTATGCCAAATTTCAGCTATATCCATGTAGCCGTTCTGGAGATACTTTTAAACAAACATCCATTCATCTCTCCAAACATTCGCATTTATAATATTAGTAATATATGTCTGTTAGTTATTTTAGTAAGCGAGATATCGTGTTTTGGCTGGCAGAAGCATCCGCAATAGATATTGCTGGAGAGCTTTGCCTTGGGCGTCTACTTAAAATTAACTACTTACGAAACCATATTAAGAAAATTGCTATTAGTAAAATAATAGCTGTTTTTTCTCATCGGACCATATAAATAAAATTATAATATAAGTAAGATGCAAAAACATATCTGACCGACTATGATGGAGCAAAAAAGCTCGTCGAGGGCTATTTGCGTCAAGCATGGTACTATTGTATTAATAAGATAAACAGTTAACAAAAGAAAATAAAATCGTGCGTGGATCGGAACGCAGTGTAAAGGCACTGGGCGGGTACCGGCAAGCCTCACTAGGTTATGGCGCGCATAATTTAATATTGGCGCCACTTTAAAAATAAATTTGTATTGTGTAGAACCTCGTCCGCACGACATCGATGTATTTTTGAAATTATATATAATTACTTTCAAGACATGTTATCATTGTGTGCTTTCATTTTGATATTAAAGCTATTCTGTATTTCTCTCGACTTCGTTTTTGATGACATTGTAAACATGAATCAGAATGGTGTAATTATTTACGTGTAAGAGTGTACAAACTTCACTCAATGTGGGTAAAATTGTCACAAAAAGTGTGTAATTATACAATTAGCATAGTCTAGCGCAATGCTATTAAAATTATAGCACCCTGTATACCATTGCTGGTCGTTTTCGCGTGTTATGTTGTATAATAAGCACGCAATTATATACTTTGTTTTAATGGTTGGACAAATTCTTGGAATCACACTATATAAGTGTAAGTGTGTACTTAATCGCTAAAAATGTTAACCCCGGTGTAAAATGGTTTATAACAAAGTATTACACGTATTTCAAAGGATAAGTTTACATACGAATATAATTATAAAAATTGAAATTTAATGTGCAAATGTCCGTAACTTCTTAGACTAAGCTGCCATTCGTGCGGAGGCTTTTTTGTCGTAGATTAAAAAAAATGTTCAAATAGAACAAATTCATTTTCGCGTATCTGTACATACGGCCACGATTTTGAAATGTGACGCCTTTTAATCGCGCGGTGTTGCACCAGCTGAATGGAATAAGAGTGATTTTAAAGCGTAAAACACGGAGTTTTAACGCGGTGTTGAAACCGCTCTCGTGTAAATGAGCCGAAGATTAATATTTGCGTTTTATCTAGTAGTCATATTTTACCATTACTTTCCTCAATTGTATATTTATCCATCACAAAAAAAACTTGCTGTTATCATATCTTTCAAGTTATGACAATATGAATTAGTACAAAAACTACAGCCTGTGAAAACCCACGGCATTGGCCAAATAACAATAGCAAGAAGCAAGCAGCTACCACAGATTATCATTCCATTAATTGCTTAGATAAATCTCTTATTTTTGCATCGTCATCTCTACCATAAGAAACTGTATCAGATCGCACGAGTAATTAAGAACTGATTTAAGATATGTTAGTACAAAAGATATAATTTATATTAAATATTATGTACTCATTTTTGATGGATGTTTTAATGAACTTGACGTGGAATTTAAATTGATCTATTTCTTCTCGGTAGGCATTTAAACTAGTTTTATATTTTATTAAGATTATTTTAAATATGCTTAATAGATAGAACTTTATAGATTCAAGAAACCCAAAATAGAGCGAACTGGCGGCGCACTGTGGACGCCCTCTGCCCCACTACGGGGACATAGGACTTCAAATCAAGTCATTTTAAATATACATTTTAAAATGCATTAATACAGTTCAAAATCTATTTGAAAATTATTACTGCGAAGTAAAATTTCTTCCTTCATGCAACTTGAAATTCATGCAAGGAAAAGACATAAACGCGTAGAGGATTGAATAAAAGATTTTTTTCTTGGGAATTGCTAATGACCACATAAACCTAAATTATATAACTCCAATAAATTATGATAGAATGATTTAAGTAAAAATAACATTCGTACATTATGTACACAATAAAGAATATTACATAAACGTCTTATGTGAAGACATAAAATTATAATCTGTGGATCTGAGTCATACATGACGTCATCATTGCAAATACCGACCGAACCGGACAAGGTCTTGCGACAACTCCGCATGGTACCTACACCTCGCCATTTATATATGCCACCGTCAATACTGAACCTTGTTCGTTTGTTAGTTAACCAGCTCTTCACTATAACAGCAACTAAACGTTTTATTGATTAACCGTCGGTTTCCGAAGCCAAAATCCTCGTTTAAAACATATTTTTATCTTTGTTTTGACAAAAATGAAAGACAGGGATGACGATATGTTTTACACAATAATTTTGGTGTCAGGAACCCACGGTTACATATTCTCGATATCATCTCTTTAAATTGTCAAAGCAATAAATTGTAGATTAGTGTTAGATAATGTTATATAAAATATGCCTATCAGTAAATGTATAATGATTATCAGACTTCAATTGACAATGTTCAATTTGCTAAACAGCTAGCAAGTTTGCAAATCAACGAAAAACGACATCTTACGGTGACATATACAATAATCGAATTCGTGGGACTAAACTTCATTGAGTAAAATAATAGAGTAGAACCGTTATATCAATTTAATTGATTCGAAACTAGTTTTTCTCTCCGATTTAATTAACTGGAATAACATAAACTGTGATTGAAGATAAACAGAGTCCGAAACACTCGATCACAAAACATAATATTGTCGTCCTTGTCATTCTCCTGGAATAAATTGAGTAAACGATAAGTTTATGTACAACATCGCTGTGTAATATACTATAGTCATAGGATCAGTATTTTTCCACTAAAAATATAGAATATAACAAGTGAACACATTTTGATATTTAAATTGTGTACATAAACATTTTAATATTAAGATTGTTATGGCTTATCTCTCTCTCTCTCTCTCTTTCTCTCTCTCTCTCTCTCTATCTCACTCTCTCTCTCTCTGCCTAGCTTGCATCCCACAAGGTGGTGGGGTCAGCTTTCCTAATCCGTCTCTTCCACTTCGCTCTGTCCATGACATCTTCTTCTGAAACTCGGCACTCACTCATGTATTTTAAATAACTATTATATTATATAATAAAATGAAGTTATATCATAACATTTTATAAATATAACTGGTAAGTTTATTTCCTTAATAGAACGATAAAATATGAACTTTACTGGTGGTTGCGATCGTAAAATATTACGGGACAATACCTGCTGTGATGCGAAATATTATGTCTAAAAAGTTACGACCTATGTTCATTGTAAACCGCAGATAAAGCGAACTTACACGGACCGCAATTCGCAGAGTTTGCTTAAAAAGCAAACTGACCACGACCACTACTTGAAGTAGTCACTAGTAAATCCGTGTATGGCCTCCCTTACTAAGTTTTCACACGGGAGTTATCGTTATATTTGATTTTATCACAGAAATGTTGCGAGCGCTTGCAGAGCTTTATAGCCGACGAAAGCGATAAAACTCGCTTACCAAATATTTTATAATCGACTTCAACTTAACTGCTATACT